TATCGCCAATCATAATATCACATACTGGATAAACATGAGCACACATCATAGAATCCCCAGATGGTGTAGACACGGATAACACGTATGTCATAAGTTCTAATGGTCTAGTCAATTTCCGAGAAAAAGCATGCGATACAAAGGAATGTATAGAACCAAAATCTATCAGTACACATGTATTTTGAGAACATACAGAGAGTGTACTTGACACCACAGTATAGGTGTTTGGTACGTCACTGGGCACTAAGGCAAACACTCGGCCTTATCTCAGAGGTTCGTTCCCAGCATTGGCTTTTGCATTTGTTTTGGCCACAGAGGCGGATCCCGCTGAACTTGCTGCAGGACGGCTAGTAGTCTCAAACTTGAGCGGGCAATCTTTCACTACATGGCCTGATTGGCCACATCGGAAACAAGCACCGGATACTCGGTAGCACACACCCCTATGCCTTCTACCACAATCAGAACAGACCGGGATAGACCCACTACTCTAACTCGAGCTGCTTGTAGACCCCGTGTTTTGTTTCTTACTGACAAAGGACCGGCCTCTTTTAAAACCAACCCGGATCTATTTCCTCTCCACTCAGTTGCTGTAGTTGCTGGGGCTTTGCTTTGTTTCATGGCGACTAGGGTGGCTTCTGCCATTAAGGCTCTGTCTAGAACTTCCACATAAGTAGGCAATTTCAGGACGCCTACTCGATCAAACACCTTTAAATCCAGTCCACCTTCAAACTTTCATGCTTTCTTGTAATTAGTGTGGAGCAAACCGTGCCAGTTCGGTGAATTTAGCTTCATATTCTGCCACAAACATCCTTCCGTGTTTGAGTTCCTGAAATTCAGACACTTTCCGATCCTTGAAACATTGGGGAAAATATTTATCATAGAAAATAGCATTAAACTGTGCCCACGTCATATTCCCGTTGCTACTTCGGATCAGTAACCACCACCTGCGGGATTCATCTTTCAGAGTGTAGGTGGCTAGGAGGACTTTTTGGGTTTCAGAACAAGGAAACACCTCATATAGTTTCTCCATTTCAAGCAACCACGTCTCAGCTTTCAAAGGTTCAATTCCACCATAGAACGTTGGCGGTTTCATTTTCATGAATTTCTGTGTCAAGTTGATGATGTCATTATTATCTGCCTCAGCTTGTGCCGGTGGAAGCAGTGGGGGTAAAGGTCGTTGTCTTTACTGTTGTGTCAAAGTTTCAGTCAATGCTGCAAGCATCTGTTCCATTCGGCCCATGCGAGCCTCTGAAGATTCACTTACATCACTTCCCCTACAGGCATAATCTTATTCGTTTCTTTCAATTCATTTGTTCATATTACATTCAATTTCATATTCATTTAGATTACCACACACTCACACATGTAGACGGAATTGAACAAATGAATTAAAAGGAACGAATAAGATTATGCCTGTGTTTATTATCATTTGATGTCTGTATAGTAAGATGGAGAATGCAAGGGGAAGTGATGTAAGTGAATCTTCAGAGGCTCGCATGGGCCGAATGGAACAAATGCTTGCAGCATTGACTGAAACTTTGACACAACAGCAAAGACAACAACCTTTATTCATATTATTCGTTCCTTTCAATTCATTTTTTCATATTACATTCAATTTCATATTCATTTATATTACCATACACTCACACATTTAGACTTACATCACTTCCCCTAACTCTTATTAGGACATCCTAAGCTCATACGGACTTGTGTGTGCGGTACAACATGTGCTCTGATACCACTCTGTCACGACCCAAACCCTCCAAACTATGATCAAACTTGATAATTTGATGGACAACAAGATGAATGACCATAATGTGAGTGAAATTAACACATGCATGGAAGAAATCTTAGAATTCAAACTCAAAGCATGGAAATTTATGCATGCATGGATAGACTCTCAAAACCACACTTTGAGCTAAATCTTGACTTTAAATACCAATTTCACCATGAACCTAGCAAGAACAACTCACATTCATAATTAAAAGGATGAATTCTCTACCTTTAGGTCTTCAATTTCAAGCTTAGTAGCCTAATCTTCCAAGTTGCCTTCAATTCTTCTAAATTCAAGCAAAATTCTAGATGAACTCAATCTTGTTCTCCTACTCTCTCTCTCTCCTACGGTTTGGTCTAAGGAAGAATGAAGGAATGATGCAAAAAGATATAAAATCTATTAATGGCCTAAAGTGCCCACTAGTGGCAAAGATGCAATTAATTCAAGTTGATGTAATTTAACTTTATTTAATCATACCAAATCAAATTTAAATTAAATATACCATAAAATCACATAAATTCTAATTAACACATAACACTAATCAATTTTGGAATTGGGCGCCGATAAGGCTTTTAATTCACAGTTCAAAGTCAAAACATGAACAGATCGTTCTACGCCGAACAGATAGAACAAAAAATCAAACAACACACATGCAAATTAATTCCAAATTCCTCATAATCTACTGTTAGGCATAATTAAGTGCGAATTAACATTAATCAGAGGTCGGGGTTATTACAGTTTGAATGGGAGTGCAAGGGCACTTGAGATATATCAAAGGCTGGAGCTAATGCAGGGAGACAATTTATGGTCGTGTCGAACTATTGTAGGAACTGGCCGAAACTAATGTCGGGACAGTTTAAGGTTATGTCAAACCATTGTATGAGCTGGCTGGAACTAATGCCGGGACAGTTTAAGGTCATGCTAGACCGTTTGTAGGAGCTAACCGGAATTAGTGTCAGGACAGTTTAAAGGGGGGTCATGCTAGACTAATGTAGAGAACTAGATGTTGAACCAGCAAGCGTGGCACATATAACTTATAACATGGTGCTAAACGATGATGGCAACAGATAACTGAGTGTGCCAGAGAGCGGTTTGGAATATACGCCAGAGGGGGCGACTTGGATTGTACGCCAAAGGGAGCAGCTTGAGTGGTGCGGTATAATAACCCCGACCCATGATTAACTGTTAAACCATGATTAAGGATTCTTAATGAGTAATCAAGATGAAATTCTAAATTAATTACATGTGTGTTACATTATTTGAGTTTCTATCTGTCTATCGTAGAAAGATCTGTTTGTGTTTCCGTTTTGTTTTACGAATTGAAAGCCTTATCGACATCCGAACACAAAATTAACTTGATTTATGTATTAGTTGGATTTTTAAAATTTTATGATAAGTTTGATTAAAATTCAATTTGGAGCCCGATTAAATTAGAATAATTAATGTCCATTTGATTAGCTTTAACCACTCACCATTAATTACGCTTATATAAGGCTAATATGTGCTTCAACTCCTCTCTTTTCACATCTTTGAGCCTTCTCAAGAAAACAAAACGTGAGAGAGAGAGAGAGACCTAAAGAAGAGAGTGAATTCAAGGAGAGATAAGAGAATTGTGATAGGGAGCTAAAAACATTGAACGTTTGGCTTGTAGGAGCTCAAGATTTGGTGGTTAGACCTCAAGTGGAGGCCTTAGGTGAGTATTTGGCTCCCCATCTTTGTATCTAAGTCTTTAATGAAGAGAACCTAACGAGATTTTGTGAGCAAGTATAAGAATTGAGCTAGAAATAAAGAGACTTGAGCCATATCATGCATGTATGCACATTTTCTTACATTTCGAGTTGAATTGCTAAGAATTCTCACATGCATCCTTCAATTTTACCTTAGTTTTGAGATTTTATCATGTTTTCCATCACTTTCCCTTGTTCGAGCGTGTTTTGAAAGGTTTAAGTTTGTAGAAATTACACACATGTGCATATCATGAGTTTCAAGTTTAATTTTGCACAACTGACAAACTTTTGGGCCTTGATTTCATGAAATGATCTTGAATTCACAATGCTTTCCAAGTTTAGACTTGTTTTCTTAAGTTTTGGGCCCAAAGGATGTGTTTTGTTTGGTTAAATTCGAGTTTTGAAGCTTGGAAGCAAATATGGAAATTTTAGATTCTATCTCTCCGCTCGAGCGACAGATCTCACGCTTGAGCGACCACTCTGTATTTTGCACCTCTGCTTGAGTGACTAAAAACCGGCTCGAGCATAAAATGCATGCTCCCAGAAGTTTACATGTTTTGCAGACCACTCGAGCGACAAGAGTTGCGCTCAAGCGAAGACCTCAATCTCATGTTTGAGTGACTGTCGAGTGGAGAAATCAAGCAACCAGTACTTTTGCAGAGTTTACAGACCGCTCGAGCGAAGGAAGTTACGCTCGAGCGACCACTCACATTTTTGAACCTTCGCTTGAGCGAAGGAAGTTGCGCTTGAGCGAAACCTTTATTTCTAGCAACTTTGACTAAGTGTTTTCAAGGGCATTTTGGCATCATCATCGTATCCTAGGCATTTCTAGGCCATGATTAAGAGATAATAATGAGGATAAGGACTAGAAACACACTAAGAATGAAATGGAATAAGTTAAATGAATTACTAGTGTGTGTTTCAATATGTGTGTCTGTTATGTTTATGTAGGTCACGCGCCACAAGTTATCTGATTCGTCCGCCCTATCTGTTCTGCAAGTGAAGCCATTTGTAAGTAATAACTTAGTAAAGCTATGTTCAACTTTATTTATTTTCTATATGATGAAATAAGATCTGTTTTTTGAAATGCTATGTTTTGTATCAATGAATGATTGTCCATATGTTGAAAAGTATTCATGGCATCCTTAGCACAAGGCCCTTACCCGGGGGTAATAATACCGTGGTCTCATAGCCCTTGCCCGGGGGTAACAATACCATGGCTTAAGTATGTTATCTACTCCAGTATCGAAGGTTCCTTAATGGAATTGGTAAGCATGAATCCTTTTATGCTCTGTATTTGATCTGTCAGTGCTAATGGATGTACCATGTATGCTTATGCATGAACTCTGTTTTCTGTATAGGATTTGAATGAGAACATGAATATGAATCTGTTTCTGATATGAAGTATGTTTTCCAAATCTGATATATGACATCGTTCATTTGCCCCTTTACCATGTTATTATTTACTGGGCTTTTGCTCACTATTTGTATTATGTATGTAGGTGAATCGGTGCATGAACAGGCCTAAGCTGCTGCTTGGAGAGTTTTGGTCAGCCAGTCACCGTGCCTCCCGGGGAGGTTCCTTGTTGAACAGTCAAGTTTTGTGAACCACGTTAGGATGTTTTGTTATTTTATTTTTGTTTATCTATACGCTGGGCTAAGTCCCTTATGATACTAATTATGTGGTGGCACATAACGTATGGAAGTTTGACATTATGTATATGTATAGAAGTTTAAATTTTCTGTCCCATGTATGTCTACACAGCTCTATGGACATTGTATTTTGTATAGTTGCTTCGTAGCCCCTTACATTCTATGATATTCTGATCAGAGGCCTTTGGTAATCCAATGATTACTGGTCGGTTAGAATGCTAAACCTGTAATGACTCAAATTTTTTTTTTAAATAGCCAGTGCATACTTTAACTGAGCAAATTTTCGAATTTGATTACTGTGTAAATTCTATGTGAAAACAGTTTGGTTTTGTATTTTTTAAAAATAGTTCCCGATCACAGAAAATTTTGAAAGTTTTATGTGTTGTTCCCATATGAGTCTAGCACGTTGCATAAAAATTTCAGAGTTAAATGATGAGTATTTATTTTATGAAAATGCACAGACTGATTGGTGTTCAATTTAATTTATAATAGAATTTGAAATTGAGTTTTGGGTGTTCGGATCACGATTTGAGATAAATTTGTTGGGACTATTTTGGTATATAATTAGACCTTGTTTGACTTATGGGTGAGACCCATGATTTAGATTTAATTTAATTTGAGTTTGTTTAATGACTTATATTTAACTGTTTGGCCCTTTTTAATTAGGTGATTGGTAGTAACTACCTTAGGAGTTGTTATTATTTATTATATAAGATTATAATAAATATTTGATGATGAGTGTTGAATAAAGAAAGGTGGTGGAGAATGATGATTTCGGGGAGCTCACAGATGTGCATTGATCAAAAGGAAATTGAGTGGTTGACAGAAGGGATCTCCAAAAAAAAAAGAGATAGAGATAATATAAAAAAATGACTTTTGTGTAATGGTGGGGGTTTTTGGTTGAGAGCATTTTTGAGAGAGAAAAAAAGGTTAGAAAAAGGGAGAGGCACACACATAGGGAGATAAGGGATATCATTGTTTTAAAGTTAAAAAAAAAAAATACACATCAAGAGAATATATGATGACTTTCTCTCTCTGTGAGGCTAAGAGAGGTTTTCGGTTGAAATAAAAAAAATAGGGTAAAAAAGAAGTTCACATGGCTGGCATCTCTATCTCTCTTGGTGGGATATTTAAAAAAAAAAAAAAAATGGCATCGGCCCACTCTTGAACCTATTTGGCAGCTTGATACAGTTAAATGAGGGAATTGAAGTAAGCAGATTTATGGAAAAAATTGTGAAAAAGACCAACTTCTCTCTCTCTCCCTCTTTATTTCTTCATTGATGGTCAATCTTTGAGCTTGAAATGAGAGTCTTTAGAGTGAGATTTTGCCAAAGTGTTGTACATGAAAGTCGGAGAGCTTGTCGTGATCTTCGCAATGGTGATCTCGGATCCATGATCGGGTGATGTAGGCATTTTCGAATTAGCTTTTCTTCATATTTGAGTTAGGGACTTTCTTCATATTTTTATATTAAAGCTATGTTAAGATTATTTTGAGAAAATATGTCATTTACAATTTGTAACTTAAGACAATCTAAGTTTTTTTTTTTTCTTTTTTCAAATAAACTAGGGAAAATATCGCTTCAGTCACTACAACAAATAGCACTTTTGGCTATTAAATTTTTAGTCGCCAAAAGTTAATTTTTAGTTGCCGAAACTTTTTAGCGACTAAAATTGTTGGTCGCTACGTTAGTCGGTGACCAATTGTTTGGAAAGGTTTTGGCAACTAAAAAGAATTTAGTCACCGAAAGTCATCAGTTGCCAACTAATTTTTTAGTTGCCAAAACCTTTTCAAAAAAATTAATATCTCATTTTAAGCGACAAAAAAATTTTGTCGCCAAAAACTAAAATTATTTAGGACGACTAAAGTTTTAGTCGCCAAAAAGTTTTCATTGTTGATCTTATTTTTTTTATCTACTAAATATTTTAGTCACCTAAAGTCTGATTTTGTTTATGGCTACTAAAGTTTTAATCGCCAAATTTTTTTTTTTTTGTTTATGGCTACTAAAGTTTTGATCGCCAATTTTTTTTTTTGGCTACTAAAGTCTTGGTCGCCTAAAGTCTACTTTTTTATGGCTACTAAATATTTAGTAGCGATTTTTTTTTCATTTTTTATTTATTTTTAGCTACTAACTATTTAGTCGCTAAAAATATTTACTTCATTTTTTGCTACCAATTGTTTAGTCTCCAAAAACATGATTGTATTTTTTTTTAATTATTTAGTCCACAACTTGTACGTATTCCATGCAACCTGTACCATGTATATAGATAAAACAATACTTATATTATCAACCATTCCGCAATTTGCATTCATTTCACTTCCAACCATCGAAAAAGGAATAACTTTTAATGTCAAATTTCATACAAACTAAATATATTTCAACTTAAAATAATAATTCCATACAAAACAGAAAATCATACCTGAATTTGAACATGAAAATATAGCATCACAGAATCATGAGTGCAATTCATCTAGTAAATTGTGTGCAAGATGAGGGGAGAGAGGGTGATAGAAACTCACAAGAATTTAGATGCTTCCCACTTTGTAAATATGTGGCTAAAGGCTCCGTATATGTAAGGCAGTGGTCCCGTTTGGTGTAGCTGTAAGAAGATGATTATAGATTATGGTTTAATAAATTATAGATTATAGTTTTAAATATAAGCTGTTAACTTGTTTGGTGCAGCTGTGGGATTATAAATTTAATCAGTAGAATAGTGTTTGGTTGAATAAATTGTAAAATAACTTTTTGCTGTATAATGTCCTTTTTACCCTTATAAGATATAAAATTTGTGATTTCATTTATAATACATTTTTGTCTTTTTTTTTCATTTTATTTATTTTTTCTTTTCTTTTTCTCCTTATTTTCTTTTATGTTCTTTCTTTATTTCTTTTTTCTTCTTTTCTTCTTTCTTTTTTAATTTTTTGTAATTTATTAAAATTAATACCAATTAATATTCATGTTCTAATTTATATTAATGTTGTGATTTCAGTACATATAATTTTTTATATATTCATTTTAATTTTTTATATATTTATTTATTTTCTTTATTATTATTATTATTAATTAGCATAAAATTATTTCATTAATGAAAGTTAATACAATTAGTATCAATTAATATAAAAATTGTTATTATATATATATTTTTATATTAATGTTGGGAACAGGCTGAAGATGGAGCGCAGTCGATTTGGAATGGCAGAGGGAGCGCCATCGATGACCTAGCCACCGTTGAAACAACGCCAGAGATGCGCGAGCCGTCGATTGTCATCGTCACCATTCTACCCAAACCCTAGCCCCCTTATCTTTTCCTTTTTTTTCTCCTTCTTCTTCTCCTTTCCCTGAAACCCTAGACATTACAGTCTACCAAAACCCTAGCCTGGTTCTCCGACTAGATTGCGAAGATACAGAGAGAAAGAGAGCTCTGGTTCATTGATGCGATGGCAGTGGTTCTCTGACCAGATCGCGACGCTAGGTGACGGGAGGGTTTGCCCCTCAATGCGATGGCTGCAGGAGGGTTTGCCCCTCTAGTTAGGGTTTCAGATCGCAATGGTGGTGGTGACGGAGAGAGAGTTTTAGATCGTGAGAGAGAAAGATAGAGTGAGAAGAGAGATCACAAAGAGAGAGAGAAGAGATAGCGAAGAGAGAGAGCTCTGGTTTGCCTTCGCTGGAAATCACTCTCATCGGAAATCGCCACCGGAAATCGTCTCTCTCTCTCTCTCTCTTTATCTCTATCTCTCTCTCAAGTAAGCAAATGAATAGTGTTTTGAGAAATGGGTTTATATAGTTGGGTTTTTGGTAATAGTTGAAATTGACGAGGGCATTTAAGTAATTTTGCATGCCCTTCGTTTAGTCTCAAACGCGGAAGTTGTTGGGAGCAGCTTTTGATTCCAACCACTTTTCTTTAAGGAAAAAAAGCTACAAAATCAGAAGCTAATAGGGGTGAGCAGCGGATATATCAATTTGTCAAAACTGACCGAACCGAACCGATCCGCCGCATTTTGGACGGATGCTTGATGACGAGCGGGCGGTTGCGGATTGATTTTCTCCAATCCGCCAATCTGGCGGACGGATGGTGGATTTGAGATTCCTTTATCCGCAATCGAACCGCCAAACCGCGACCACCGCTAGTAATTTATAAGACTTTGTGTTTTCAGTTTGTTTAAATATTTTGTTTGTGTTTTCAATTAAAAAAAAGTTTAAATATTCTGTCAAAAAAAAGTTTTCAACTTGAATATCTTTTTTGAATTGAAAAAAATAAACGTATTATTTATCTTTATTTTTTGGTTTTTAAATCTATGCCTAAAAATAATAAATAGAAAATATGACATATGTTGGTTGGTTTTTGTTTTCAAAAATAGATATAGATGTAACAATACAGAGACATACAATCTCTACTACTGCTTTGTTCATGGTTTTGGTGGTTTGAATTTTTTTTATATTTTAAGAACCGCAAATTGTAATACTTTATGTGGATGAGGCATGCTGTCATTGTAGAATGTGGATGAGACATGCAGTGATTGTGATATTCTAAAGTTCAAACTTTCTTTCTTGGATGAGGCATGCAGTGATTGCAATATTTTTTTAAGTCATTGATTATAATACTTTCTTCTTATTTTTTTGAAGAAGTGCACAAGTTGAATTATGTTGAAAATTTATAAAATTTTCAACCGCCAAATTGTTTATATTTTAAGAACCGCAAATTGTAATACTTTATGTGGATGAGGCATGCTGTCATTGTAGTATGTGGATGAGACATGCAGTGATTGTGATATTCTAAAGTTCAAACTTTCTTTCTTGGATGAGGCATGCAGTGATTGCAATATTTTTTTAAGTCATTGATTGTAATACTTTCTTCTTCTTTTTTTGAAGAAGTGCACAAGTTGAATTATGTTGAAAATTTATAAAATTTTAAACCGCCAAACCGCCAATCCGCTCAATCCACATCCGTCGAATTGGCGGACGGATGCGGATTGATTTTCTCCAATCCACCAATCTGGCGGATGGATGGTGGATTGGAGGTTCCGTGGCTACAACTGACCCGCGTCCACCCCTAGAAACTAATGAACAAAAG